TAAACAATGACAAAAGAATTGATATGATAAAGATTAAGTTATTGGACTAAATTGGCAATATAAACAATTGACAACAAAAGGATTCAAAATACACTTAAGAATTGAAATTAAGGCCGTGTGGGCTCACTGCCGTAATCCTAGCACTGTGGGAGGCCAAGGTGGGTAGATTGCTTGAGTTTAGGAGTTTGAGACCAGCTTGAGCAAGAGAGAGAGACCCTGTCTCCAAAAAAGCTGGGCGTTGTGCTGGGTGCCTTTAATTCCAGCTATGCAGGAGGCTGAGGCCAGAGGATCGCTTGAGCCCAAGAGTTTGAAGTTGCTGTGAGCTATATAATGCCCTGGCACTCAACCCCAGGGTGACTGAGACTATTTCAGTCAACAACAACAAAAAAGGATTGAATATATAACCAAAAACTTTAGTGTATAGCTAGTGTGTAGCTAAAGCTATACATACTTATAAAGTAAATCATAACGATGAAGCAATGCAGAAATTAAAATATAATGTCGTTATTCAAATACAAAAGCTGGAAAAAACAATATGTAAAGTTAAAGTAGAAGAAATACATAAATAAGAATATAAAATTAAGAAAGAAACCTATACATCACCAATATTATCAAGAATTTGTTCTTTGAAAAGATAGTTTAGCATTCAACTCATTTAAAAAGATGTGGAGAGAAGATTGAAATAAACAATATCCTGGAGAAATGCATATATACAAATATAATTTTGTTTTTAAACACATTTTTTAAAACACCTGGAAATGGGGCAGCTCCTGTGGCTCAAAGGAGTACCAGAGGTGGGGGTTTCAAACCAAGCCCCAGCCAAGAAAAGAAAAAAAACAAAAATCTTGGAAATTAGGTGAAATGAACCATTTAAAAGAAATGAATTCCAAAATTTACTCATTTACTTGAGACAAAAATGTTAACTTATATAGATTAATTATAAGACAGTTAATGATAAAATAAGTCTATCTTTCCCCCTCCTAATTTCCTTGATTTCCCAGGACAGTAATAAACAAGCTCTATCTCATGAAATGGTATTTGAGAAACTGGAATAAGAATGTTAGCTATGGATCACATTTTATGATACATACAAAACAGACTTTGTAAGAACAGGAACAAGTCACATATCAATTTCATTTACATATGGAGATGAAAAACTCTTTAAATAAAATATGCAAAAGTTGGATTCATCAACTTACATAAAGAACAGTAGTATCTCATAAGTAAGTAGGCTTTATTCCAGGAATGCAAGCATGGTTCAATAACAGAAAATCTATGAATATAAATTTTATAAAATCATGTTAAAAAAAGTAAGTTCATCTCTGTGGAGTAAGACAAACTTTTTCTATGTCTCCTCTCACCCTCCATCATGCCAGGTAAACTCTTCCTCTAGGGTTTTTTCAGTGATCCTAAGGATTTTTCACTGTCTGAAAAGACCTTTTTCATTGATCTCTCCCTGGAACTATCCCTGTCTAAATGGCTGTGGCAAGCAAAAATAAGAACACAAGCCATCATTTTCTTGACAACAAAATGCAACCCCTGCCTTTGAGCACTGATCATAATCATTACATGTCTACAAAGTATAGACAAATAAACAAAATCAATCTTTTTCTACCTTGTTTTGAATGCTTTACTATCTTAGCCAATTAGTTAAAAAAACTCATTTGATTGTTTTGATACTGTCAATTTAGTTAACCCATCCTCTACCCCAGGGATCCTCAAACTATGGCCTGCAGGCCACATGCGGCCAGCCTAGGACATTTATCCAGCCTACCAGGCGTTTTTGCAGCCATTGCCTGTCCTGCTTAGCAGACGACTCATCCTGGGGCCCGCAGTCCAGCCCTCCAACAGTCTGAGGGACAGTGAACTGGCCCCCTGTTTAAAAAGTCTGAGAACCCCTGCAGATAACTTAGTTATTTTTTCCTCCATCTACCTCGAAGCTCTTCATCAGTTGGATACAGAACAGAATGGTCAATAGATATTTTGGGGTCGTACAGGTTTGGTTCCATAAAAATTCTGAAACCATATTTTAGACAACAGTTCATATGGAGGACACTCTAAGAAGAATTTTTATTATAATGCAAAAAGGAATGCCCATATTGTACTGTATGTATATAGAAATATAGAAAATGAATTAATGTAATCTTATAATGTGAATTTATACCGAAGTTCCCTTTAGTATTATAGTTTTAAAATCTCTTCTATAGTAAATATTTAATTTTTTTTCTGAACTGTGATGATACATCACAGTTTTGGAGTTTTACATAATATTGTTATTTTAAGGGATTTTATTTAAAAATACTAAAAAATACTAAAGTAGTAAGGCTCTAGGAATCAGATTCCTTCTATGATCCAGTCAAGGGAAATATTTCTCTCCTTCTCCTCATCTTTTATTAGATGTATTTCAAATTATGAGTGTGATAATAAAATCTTCAAAGTTGGAATAAAAAAATGAATTTCTAGGCTTTTTTGTTTTTTACACTGTCTAATGGATGCATCCTAACTGTATGACCTTGAAAAACCAATGTCTCAGTTTTTTCTTCTGTGATGTTTGGTAATAACTAGACCAATATTATGGGGTTGGTATAAGGATTAAGAAAAATAATTATTCTGCACATTACAAATATACATAATTGACCACAAATCAACCCTTGCCAGTATTAATAAATACAGTATGGCCAGAAAGACTAGTGTCCCTGAACTTGTGGAAATACTTTTCCAAGTTCTTTGTTTTCCCATCTATCTGCTGCCTCCCCCTCCCAAACCAATAGCATGTGGTCGTTTTTTCCACAGTGTGACAGAGAAAGTACTCTATAATCATTAGCCTGAAAGATAGCAGCAATGGAACGCTCTATCTTTGAAGACTTTTTGTTGTTTAAATTTGAAAAAGAATACATTTCCCTTGTGACTGGAGTTTTGCCAGTCTCTCTTTTTTTGGAGTCTTTCTAGTCTCGTTCTGCTTATTATTTTCAAAGTGGCCTGGCACTTGTATTGAGATTCTACCCTTTCCTCCTCATAAAAATCTACAAATTCATTATAGATATAACTCTTCATTATAACTCCTTATAAGGAGTTATGAAAACTATGAACTCTGAGACCCGCAGATCTGAGTTTAATTCTTCATTCCATCATTAAATAAGCTGTGTAATTTTTTTTTACAGTTTTTCTTTCCCTGAGAATCACCTCTCTCTAATCTCTAAATTGGGAGAAAAATCACCTCATTAATTAGCTAAGGAGATTAGATAAGATATTATAAAGCCTCAGGTATTTAGCGGGAAGCTTAGTACAAAAGTTGCTTTCACCAGCTTCTCTGCGTTGGCATCAAGACGTGTTAGTATCAGCCATTACTAAGGGCATCGCTCTACAAATGTTTTGTGAGTCATAGCCGCGCATAAGCATTTGAGGTAGGGATCAGAAAAGTGTAAGGGGAAAATACTTTTAGTACTTCTTGGTACTACTGTAAAATATTGCTGCGAGTGTACAGATAACTTTGTTTCCTACAGATAGGTCTAATCCTGAGTGTGGAAAGACTTATTTTCTTAAATTATTGATACTATATGTACTGTGTTTCAATTTCTCTCTCTCTATAGAACGCTATACTTATATATCAACATAAATATTTGCCTGTTCACCAAAAAGTGATGGATAGGCAAATTATATGAAATAATTTAATTAACTGCCCCCCCCCGCCCCCCCCGCCCAGTGGTATATCTGTCAAAGAGCGTTTATTAATCTGTGGCAGGGGAGGAACTGACAAAGAATCAAAGCTAATTTATTTTTTCACCTTTTACTTTATGTTTTCAACATTTAACTTTTTAAAGATAGGATTGGAAAAGAGGCTGAGGGAAAGAAAGAAAGAAAGAAAGAAAGAAAGCAAGCAAGCAAGCTCGCTCTCTTGGCTGTTTTAAAAGCAAAGGATTAGTAGCAATGTTCTGACCTGAAATTTAGGTCTTGTGATTTCTTTCCAGGAGATTTTTCACTGCATGTAAAACCTGTCTGCTGTTTTTTTTATTATTTAATTCAATCTTAATTGGATACAAACTGTAAAAAATCTTAGGGCTTGTTGGAAGGTCTAAAAGTGCAAAAGGTATTTTCCAAATGGTAATATTAATCATCCGCGAGTGAAAAATGTACTTTGCCACGTTACTGAACCTTTTCTGCTGTAATCTAGAGTAGAAACACTCGGCAGTTTCTTCACCTTTTTAAAGTTTCAAGGGTGGGAAATGAATTCCTAGAGTGTATGTCCTGTTTAGGGAACGGTTCAGCCATTTTTAATAGGAGGCTAGGCTTTGTATTTTAGCGGTATCTATTTTAGGAATTCTCCAAGTAGCTTAACGAGGAGCACGCCTTAACAGTCAGAAGTCAGCCGGGCTTCATCTTGAAATGCTACCCCTGGAGAAGAGGAGGATGCTAGGGATCAACACAGAAAGGGTGAGGACCGGTTCCTTAAAACCGCCTTTCCTAACCTGGCCAGATTGCAATCAGGCCACCCAGAAGCCCCAAGGTGTAAATGGCTGTCTTGGGGGAGAAAGCTAGGGGAAAGGGTTCTTTGGGTCATCCTCTTCTTCTAGTCTTGTTAGGGACTCTTGGAGAACACCCAGAGGATGAGAGGCTGGATCAATCCTATTGTTATCCTCTCCGAGACAAAAGGCTCGGGCTGGCAACTGGTGCCCATCCTTGCGGCTGAGCGGGTTGAGGAAACATCGGATGCCTGGGGAATGTTTTGTTTTGATCTGGAGAGGGTTTCCCCAGGTCCATCCAGCCTTTCACTGGCTCAGCCACCGGCGCTGGTGGGACGCGGCGGGGCAGCCGCAGTGGCCTCTGCGTCAAGGGGTGGCAGGGCGGGGAGGTGCAGCGCCAGCCTGCGCACCGGCTGCCTCCTCTGCGCCCCGCCGCCGCCCACGGCCGCTCCCGCTCCCTCGCAGCTCGTCGGCGGCCGCAACGCGGGCGGGCCGGGCACGTGGGCGCCTCCGTCACACCCTCACTCACACACACTCACACATGCGCGCGCACACGCGCCCGCGCGCCTGCATCCCGTGCTGTTTCCCCGGCAGACACACCGGCGCTCACTAGTCTCTCTTTGCAAGCCTGCGGGGTAGCGACCTCGCAAACCTAGCCCCGGGGCCCGCCCTTGGCAAGCAGCTGCTTCTCTCCGGATAGCAGCTCCTTTGGGGCCTCCGTCGCAGCCACCCGGACCGGACCCTTTCGTGACTGCTGCTGCCAGTACCGGGAAGCAGCAAGAGGCGCTGGGTCAAGACACACTAACGGTAATGACACGTTCCTATGCTAAGGGCACGGCTGGGGCTCGCCATTTAGCCATCCAGGATACCGGGGAAGCTGGACTGGAAACGAACTGATGGATGGATCCCGGGCTCTGTCCTGGGACGGATGGAGGAAGGATGGCTCAAAAGCCCTGGGAGGGAGAAACCGGGCTTGGCGGGCGACCCTCTCTTATCTGCTTTCTACATCCGTGCACAGTCAGGGGGCGAGAGGCTGCACAAGTAGGAGGAAGCACATGGGTCGGAACGTGCCGCCATCCTTCCTTCCTGTCGTGGAAATTGCCCAGGGCATCCCCAGAGACCTACTCATTTCCAAGTCAAGTCGGGGATGTAGGGTGGGGTCCGACACCAGAGAAGTCCGAGAGGAAAGTTGGGAGGGTCAGGGTGGAAAGAGGCGCTTTCGAGGTGATTGGTAGCCAAACCTCGTGCAGGTGGGCGGTGGGGCGGGGAGAGCAAGGAGCCTCGTTCCTCATTCGCTTCTGGTAGCTTTTGCAACTGCAGAGGCGACTACGGAACGGAGAGTGTTTTCACGTGACTACAAATTCCTTCTGCTTGAGGCATCCCGTGATAAACGGTCCGAGAGCGGGCCTTTCCCCCACGCAGCGCACGTGGGTGCTGGAGAAGTCACAATTTGGGCGTTTCTGCCCATCCTGGAACAGGAGAGTGTGACGGGGAGGGCAGTGATGCCCGGGATTTTAAGGAGCGGATGGGAAGCAACTAGAAACTTAGGTCGTTTCTACTTTTCATCAACTTGGCTGGTCTGTGTGTGGAGGACAGAAGAAGGTTTTAAATACGGTGAAAGCCTTTCAATCTTAACTTGCGCTCCAGCCTTATTACGCATATGAATGAATCAAAACGCCGGCGGCGTCCCTGGAACTTGAGTGACCCACCCAGTAGCAGAGGCCGCAGGGGCCTGAGTTCTTTTCCGTTGCGCCGAGGAGAGGCGTCTGATGAGAGTTCTAGCCGAGCGAAGCCCCCAGGTTCGCGCTGTCTGGGGTCTCCCTCTCCATTTCCACCCTGCTCGCCTGTAGGGCAGGGCTGGAGTACGACGGGGCGGGGTCCGGGCTCGGCGCGGTGACGTCAGCAGTGTTTGGGTGCTTATGCAAATGAGACTGCGACCGTTTCTCCTGGGGGGGGGGCTGTTTTTCCCTCCAGGTCTTAAAGGTAGACCTGAGCTTAGTCTACACCATTTTTGCGGTTCACTACCTAAGTCTGGGAGGACAGAAGGATTTGCTCTTGCTCTGCATGCTGCATGTAGGCTCTTCATCGCCCATTCTGTCATATACCTGTCAATGCCCGGTTGCTTATCTCACGTACCGGGAACAAAGTATTGGCTTGGAGGAATTACTGTATTTTCTGCAGACGCAGCCCCAGGAAGCTCCTCGCCTCGCCCAGCTTGGTTTCTGCAAAAACAGACCTACTTATGTGTTAGGCGCCCAGTACTCGGCTTAACTTGTACATAATACTTGATGATGGACTGAATTTTATTTGAACAGTACGTGTATTTGTCTTATTAAATTCTAGGTGTTTGATCACAGAATCAGAAGAGTTTATTTCTGTGTATTGGCTTTCTGTCATCAATGAGCCAGGTATATGGGTTGGAGTAAAATATATCAACCCAACCAGCTGAAGTCAAAATTGAATTCACTATTATTTTTTTCCAAGCAAAATTTCCTCTGGAAGGCAGAAATTACAATTTTGAAAGAGTAATATTGTACTGTTTGTTGATAAGCTTTTCTTCTGATTGCACATTATATACTCAATAAATTATTTTATAATTTCAGTCTTAAGATTTATATGGAATTAAGAAAGGTTTATGTCCTTTCATACATTTCACATATAGAAATGAAAGATATTTGTATCTTTCATTTATGTTCCTAACAGATAAAAGCACTCTGTCACCCAATTAATAAGAAATAGTAAAGAATTTAAAAATCGGATAACTTAGCTATTTGAGATAACAACAGTCAGATGAGAAGCCCTACTTGTGAGGTTTGAAACATTTGCAATAAGTTGGAATAGTTACTAAAGCCTAAACCCCTTATTTGATAATCATTACCCATTGATCACAGAGTTCAAATTGTACTGTGCACGTTAGACAATGTACTTCTCCAGTCATAAAAAAAAAATTTATGTATGAATCAGTAAGAAATTTGCATTCCTTTTAACTCTCTGGGGTTTTCATCCAGGCAATGAAAAGAACCATTTACTTAGAATGACAGACTTGAAGCAGACAGACCTGGTGGTTATCAAAATCTCACTTAAACTTTGCTTTCACTTCTCAATTTCTTATGGAAAATGTTATTTTTTTATTACTACATGCATATGCATGATGGGATATATTAATATATTCATATGCAGAGTAGATTTTGAAATGGTTTCTGAGCAGATGGCGTTATTAACAAAAATCCACAGACGTAGTCTGATACATGAAAAACATTAAAGGTTACACTGCAGGAATTGTTAGATTTATACCAGTTTGCTTATACTACTACTCCTCTGGCAGTCTTTAGTAAATAAATTTTGATATATTCATCTGGTTAACTATTAACTTTGACCAATAATTATTATCTTTTTCTCTGTGAAGACTAACCCCTAATGATAAACTGAGATACAGGATAATTTTAAATGCATGAAATCACTTGATACAGGATAAAGCTGTTTTCAGCCTTGAAGGTCACTTTATTTACTTGTGATTAATGTGCTAGGGTATCTTTTCACGAAAGATTGATTGTTATCTTTAAATAGAGCACTCACTCTGGAAGCTTTTTAACCTATCAAATTGGCAAAGATCAAAGAGATCACTTACTGTATTAAAGAGAGCACAGCAAAACAAGCCCCGCCATGTTACTTGCAGTAGTGTCGATTGACACAGTTTTTTCAAAGGGCCATTTGGCAATATTTATTACAATGAGGAAAGCACATACCCCTCAGTCGAGCAATTCTACTTCTAGGAATTTATGATGCAGATGTGGCATTGCAACATATAGAAAGTAATTTGTTGAAAGGCTGTAGTAACAAATTATCATAAATGAGGTCTAAATAAGTGGTGCGCCTGCACTGAGGAATATCATATGGTTATTTAGAAAGATAACTATCATATTGAGATAAAAAGTTATTAATATGTTTCAAAAACTAAGATGTAGAATTATGCATAGTGTACTAGCAAAAATAAGTAGGTTGGGATAGACAGAAAACATATTAGCTTGATATATGTACATATACATATATATATATAAGCTTGATTATACATAAAATATTTTTTAAGACTTGGTTTACTTATAGAGAGGCAGAGGTGGTACTCTTAAGAAATAACACATTGTTCTTGTAAGCTCTTGACAGAATTGTAAATCTTGCAATAACTAAACAACATCCTAATCAGAATATTGACTTTAATGCAAATTGCAGAATAGTTTTAATGCAAAACAATTCTCCGTGCTGCCTTTCTATAGCCAATACCACTTCACTCCAGCTCTCCTTCACTCCTGGTAACCTCTAGTCTCCCCCTTTTATTGTTAGTCATTTCAAGAATGTTATATAACTGGAACCATATAATACTTAACTTTTTGCAATTAGCTTTTTTTCACTCAGCATAATTTTCTGTAGATTCATCTGAGTTGTGTATAACAATAGTTTATTTATTTGTGTTTGGCTGAGTTGTACTCTGTAGTATGGATGAGCTGGGGTTTAATCATTCACCCATTGGATGACAATGTGGGTTATTTATATCCATAAAGCTGAATGGGTAATCCTGACAGGTTTTTATGGATGGTAGGTTTTCATTATCTGGGATAAATGCCCAGGGGTGCAATTAATACTTGGTTATATGGCTGTTGCATGTTTAGTTTTTTAAGAAACTGCCAAACTTTTTCCTAGATGGTTGCCCAATTTTATATTGTCACCGGCAATGACTGAATGGTTCATTTTCTCTGCATCCTAATCAGAATTTGGTTGTTACTGTATTTTAGCCATGCTGATGGTATATAGTAACATCTCATTGTGGTTTTAATTTACATTTTTCTGAGACCCAATAATATTAACCCCCATTTTATGAGCTCATTTGCTATTCTTACATAATATTCAATGAAATGTCCTTTTATGTACTTTACCCATTTTCTAGTTTTATTTTTAATAATTGATTTTATATGATTTCTTTATGTATCTTTGTGACTGTGAAATATTTTCTCCCAGTCTTTAACTCGTTTTTTCATCCTCCTAGTAGGTTCTTTCACAGAGTAAAAGTTTCACAGTGCACCCCACTTCATTCTTATGTTTTAAAATTGCTATAATGTAGTGTTTTGCCTTTTCATATAAATTCTAGAAAAGTCTTGTTTATACAAAAAATTTTTCTGAGATTTTGGTAGCTGTTGTATTAAATCTATATATCAGTTAAGGAGAGCTGACATATTTACTATGTTGAGTCTTGCAATCCATGAACATAGTATGTTTCTATATATTTGTATCTTTCATTTTTTTAAATCAGGACAGGATAGTTATCAGTAAAAATAATACTGTCCGTGTTTCATTGCATTTTCATGTCTTTCATTATTTTAGGGAAGGTAATGCTATTGCCTTTCTATTTTCTGTGTCCACCTGCTCATTGCTAACACTTAGAAATACAAATGATTTGTGTGTGTTTATCTTGCATCGTATGATTTTGTTGAATCATTTGTTCTAGGAGGGAGTATTTATATTTATTCTTAACATTAGAATATCTCCAAATGTGAAAAGTTTGATTTCTACCTTTATTATCTACATGCCTTATAGAGCCAGCCCTTCTGTAGCTATGGATTCACCATATGTGGATGTACCCAAATGCAAATACAAAATGTAGGATCTGTGGGATGCAGAACCCATGGATACAGAGGGCCAATTTTTTGTATATAAGGATTCCTCAGGGATGATAGGGGACTGGAGAATATGAAGATTTTGAAATTCATGGGAGGTCCTTGAACCAATCGCCCAAGTATACGAAGGGATGACTGTAT